ATCTACTAGGTCCCTTCCGACCCTTAATCTATGAATCTTCAGAGACTGTTTCAAAAACATGGAATTTCAGCCTCACTCTTTGTAACTAGAATATTCTAGCAAAGAAGGGCAAACATACAGAACGCTTCCTCAGACTATACAGCTACCCTAGGCAAAGAGACTTCGTTAATCTGTCTTCAGAGGACAAACAGAAAACTTACAGGATAGACATTTGCCACATTGAAAAGCCCTGTACAAAACTGCTGTATAGGTGTAACTGAATATAATACATTTTGGTCCAGGTAGGTCAAATTAGCCAGATCTAAGAACAAAGCTCACCAAGTTCTGTCTAGCTGCCATGGGCAGTAAGAGGAAACCAAGCAAGTCACAGATGCTCCAACCTTTTATGCCCTTGCATGAAAGAACAAAGATATAGAAGACACGTGTATAGCCTCAGACACTGCTTCTCAAGAACTCTTGAATACATGAAGTACAGGTACCCCTGCAATGGGATCTACATTGATACATACTCAAGGAACCTGTGAAAGGTAAAATCTCATCAGAAAGGATAGGAAAAAAGGAAAAAATTGCCTTTATAAAGCCCCACAGTCCTCCAGCAGATGCTCCACCCTGCATGTCAGCCACTCTGGGGTCTTCACGCTCCTCTGGAAAAGTAATTGCAGAGCCACCACCAGTCCCAGAACCCAGAAGTGGTGTAAAAGTTGCTGGCTGAGTAACAGGACTTGCCAAAACACCTGATGAACAAAAACAAAACATACGAACACCACATTGCAAACATTCATAGGAGGAAAATAGGCAGGAACAATAGTATTCTGGGACCTTCAAGGAACAGTGCCATATGTTAAAGGCTGTTCAATTTACCCGCTTATATCTGACCGGGAAGCTGATTATATAACATTTAAAATGAAAGTAAAGAATAAGAATGCCTTCTTAATCCTGTTGAATAGTAACAACATACAATGGAAGACTATAGTTAAAAAACAACAACCAAACACACTGACTCAATTCACAAAAAAATATAGATACAAACCAGTTATCCATGTACTACTTTTAACAGTTTTTCAGTCACCAGCCTTAGTCCAGAGTCATTTTTATTTTACATGACACAATTGACTGGTATATTCAAATATTTACAGATCTCTTCTTAATAACAGAAATATACTACTGGTCATGGCTTTACACAGTTTATACTGGGTCACCTACTTTCCATTTCACTGGGGAGGGGCAGGGGGAAAAAACACCCAAGAATATCCCTTAAAGAACTTGGGTAATTGCTCAAATGGAAACCTACTTATTCTAGCTAATCTTCATGCAATTTAATATCTGAAAATAAGAAACTTGAAGCCAGCATCATGTGACCAGCCAGCTCTCAACCAGACCATCAATAATGATATAGTCTACTGAACTAGAGTATAATTTATTAAGTCAAAATACGTTTTGCCATACTATCATTATACAATAGTGGAATTTCCACCCTGCTCTAAGCAACATCTATATACATAAGAGTACAGCACAGTTTGGCTTCCTAAATCAACAACAATCTTAACTGTCAAGATTTTTCTGAGATTTGTTCTTCATAGGGTTTCCTTAAGATGACATTCCTGTCCTAAACCATGACTTCTTTACTCACAAAACTACTTCCATTTTCCTTGAACTTTTCAGTTAATCTTTTCAGTTACAAAGTCACCACTGAGATAAACATACCCCACTAAGGTAGAATGAAATAAAATATTACCTGTGCCTGTAGGTGCAGAAAAGGTTGGCATCAATGGGCTCTGTGGGGCTCGCCCAGCATGACCTCTGGTAATATCGTATGTTGAAGTAGCAGAAAATCCTGAAATGGGGGGACCCACAGGAGGTGCAGAAAGGTTGGAGCCTAGAGTACCAGATAGTGGAGGGGGTGCTGAGAAATTAGACATGGAGCTACTAAATGCTGCAGCACCTGAAGGGGTAATCGGAGGTGGAACAGAAGTTAAAGATGGAGCAAAAGTAGAAACTACTGTAGAAGGCACAAATGGCAAAGGAGCTGAAGACATCATAGGAGGATGTGAAGGCACAGGGGGTGGGTTGAGGGTGGAGAATGCTGCGGGAGGCAAAGATGGGAGAGAGGATATATTTGATGACGTGAGGGGACTGGATAAAGCTACGGAAGGAAAAGGACAGAGGGTTGGGGGGTGGGAGGGGGAGAAAAAGAGAGGCACTTTAAAAAGGTGGTACTTTAAAACTCCTTAAACATATCTGAATAAAATATGTCAAAGTTTACTCTAGTTTACTTCCCCCAAAATAAATGCATTTCTGAGTTCGACACAAAGCTGTATGTAATAACAATTCCAGTCACTTTGTGTGACCGTCTACTACCAAATGATCTCTCACTTTGTCCCCCACTACTACCTCAATTTGTCATAAGCAAAAGTACAGCAGAAGAAAAATACTTAAAGGGTAACTTCCGAAACAGGAGTCATTTGCTGCCAGTTCAGCAGGTGACACACTTTTGAGTTACCCTTGACTCAACACTCCAGCATTAAGGGGAACTGCACTGTCAGAAAGAAGTGTGTATTTGCAGTGAAAAAAGCGTGCATCTGATATGACATTTTGCAAAAAAATCTTCAGTTTTCTCCAGTGCGCAGGCAAAATAAATAATTACATTTTTTCCTTACTTTGATTTCACGTGAATTTAGGAGAGAGATGATATACACCACTATGATCCCTGAACTAAACTCTTATGGTGTATAGTAGTATTGCATTTCACCTCAGTAGCTGTTGCATTTCAGAAGTATGACCATCTAGGACTGACATAAAATTTTTGAAACATGGATACCTATAATATGCAAACAACCAAAAAAGCAACAAAAAGAAAGTCAAATAACAAGGATTACCTTAATAAAGTATAATTACACAAGATAAAGAATTAGGAAATATATGAAGTTCTCACAGTATCAGGTATCTTTTTCTGAGGATCTGTTTGCATAGAACTTAAAAACTTATGTTTGACCACCATTTCAATTGGAAAAAAAAATTCAGCAACCGTAAACACACACAACTTTTGTACCTTAATGTTAGTGCTCCAATTATACAAGAAAAATAGGCAACCACACCACCATTATGTGCTGCAGACATTCTTGCACTTTACACAGAGCTAACACTGTCCTCATTTCTACTCCTTATTGTACTTCCATTAAAATATAAGTTCCCTTAGACAAAGAGCTGGCCTAATCAAAAATAATGGCCCTTTAAAGTGGGCTGAAAAATCAAGTAACCATATCACTTGGTGGAAGACTCCAAATGCCTGACAAGTCTGATTAGGGCAGAAGTCATAGAAAAACAGATAAGACATTTATAAAAGGTAGGGGCCACTCAAGTCCCTGCCATTTCACAACCACACCTGCGTCCACCAGGAGAGCTGGCTGCATGAGCCTAAAGAGACAAGCAAGAATCCCACTTACTAGAGCAGATGAACCCCTACAAACTTACGGAGGACAGATGAGGTCACTGCACTGGGGTATCTGCCATACCTCTGTTCTGTAACTTTGTTTTGTTATGAGTAAAGAATATGTATAGTAGCAGTTCCCAAACAGTGGGTTGCAACCCCAAATGTGGTTGCAACATCAGCGGATGGGGTCATAAAAGTACCCCCTGGGATTTTGGAACCCACAGCAAGATGCGGGGCTGCAACTGGGCTGGCCCAGCTCTGGACAAGAGCTGCCTCTGTGGCCTATCAGGTAGGACCCATTGTGGGAATGAATGCCACAACACCAGGGCTGCCAAGGTGAGTCATGGCAGAAGCATGGAGTTGTGCCAATGCTGCTGATGGCTGAGCAAGGAGTGCCTCAGTTTGGCAGCCATGGTAACACGCCGCTCCCTCTCTCCCGCACCAGGTTCTGCCCACTGGATCATGGAGCCCCAGGAAGACGGCAGCAGGGTGGGGTGCCCCACACCTGCAACCCACATCCTTCCACCCCTCCCACAACCATAGGCTCTGCTCCAGTAGTGCTGCCCATGGAGAAGGTGATGGGGGAAACAGGCTCTGCATTCTCTCAGTAGCCACTGCCTCCTGCTGCTGTTTGGGGCGGGCCAGGGGACTATAGGCCCTGGCCCTGGGGCACCTGGGATTGTGGCAGCCTGCAGATTGGGAATGGTCATGCTAAGGAAATGGGGTCATAAATGAGGTCACGCTGAGGAAAAGTTTGGGAAGCACTGGTGCATAGTTTAGAATTCTTCTGCAGAGTCTACGGCCATGAACAAGAATTCATTTATACTGGTAAAAATCTTTCCAAGAGAGGAATCATATATTCAGCCTGAAGTTGTCCCACCCCCACCCCTCATGCTCTCCATCACGTAGGGTTGCCAACCCTCCAGGATCACCCTGGTGCCTCCAGGAATTAGATACAAATTTCCAGAAAACTGCTAAGTCACCTGGGAGATAAATGATAGGGCATACATTAAAATAAATATTGAATCAGTTTTATACAATAGTCCAATGGGTTTTTAAAATATAATAGTATTGTGCATTTGCTAACCCAATGTAAAGTCTACATACCATAATCCATAACTGATATATATGGAAGCATGCAAGCACATTCGCCTTGTGTGTCGCGGACATGGTGGTGTTTTGGAAACCTCCCGGAATAGATTCAGAGTTGGCAACACTATCTCCATGTCTTCACCAGACAAAAGTAATCTCAGTCTGAATGAGTGGAAAACAGTGGCTTCTCCTCTCCTTCTCAATCCCTGGGTTAGGAAGGGGAGCTACAGGGAAAAGACTCCTTGGGCCTTCCACAGTCTGGAAGATCTGGGGTCTGGGGAATGGGCAGCGAACAGCTTTCTGCATTCTGCTCCTGGACTCTGACAGCAGAGCAGACAAAGCAGCACGACAAAGCCCCCAGCCTATTCCACAGGCCAGGAAAGCAGCGACAGTTGTCGGGGGGAGAAGCTGTACTTGAGTTCACCCGTGTCAGATTTCTCATTAAGATTTTCCAGGTTGACATTTGGAGAAGCTCTCTCTCTCAGAGGGGCCATAGTCCTCTTAGGAGAAATTGAGCAAAAAAACCAAAACTTTGTACATATATACGGTAAAAGCTCTGTTATCCGACATCCCCCGGGAATGGGGGATGCCGGATAACAAAATATGCCGGTTAACTGAGTGGCCCGAACAGGTGTCCTTGACTGTTTGGACTGCCGCTTCTCCAGCCGTGTGCAGGGCCTGCAGGTCCTGTGGGACAGGGTGGCGGGCCCCATGCAACCTGCTATGCCCTGGGCCGTGGGGGCTCGGCAGCGCAGGCTGCTTTGCTCCGGGCCGTGGGGGCTCGGAGAAACCAGAAGTGCCACAGTGGGCACTTCTGGCTTCACTTTACCTTACAAGCCAGCATGCCGGTTAATAGAGCATGCCAGCTTGTAAGGTGCTGGTTAACGGAGCTTTTACAGTAGTTTCTACTGGAAAACTGATAGTTCTCCGAGTAGAAACAAAATGACAGTATGTATCCTATACCTGTTTACCTCTTCACAGATGTGGTAACCAAAGTAAAGTGTAAGAAAGAATATCTTCAAACTAGCAGCTTTGGAAAAGTGTGCTTTAGTAACTGAGGAGTCTGGAAGAACCACAGTAGCCTCAGATCCTTGGCCACAGTGTTGGATTTTGAAATGGGATGCAAGAGTCTGCATCCTGAGTGTACACCTTGAAAGGGAGAGAGACCATACGTGGACTCTGACCAGACTCATGAAAGCTCTAATGCACCTGGGCCTAACATGCAAGGCCAGAACACAGCAACTTGGTGACTGTCCAGGAGGAGGAGCTTAAGCAGGGCTGCAACATAACTATTTCATGAGCTACAACTCAGATTGCTATTCAGAGTGTCTCTCAGCCTGACTAAGGGTTTTTAAACCAGAAAGCTTGCTAATTTTTTTTTCCAACTATTTAAGTTGGTCTAATAAAAGATACCAGATTCACCCAAAGAACCTTGTCTACAAAAAGGGGCCCTTTTTAAACTTCCCACACTGATCCCTTAAAGTCAAAATCATATTGATTGTACTTATTCCTGTTAGAAATGTAATTTTTATACTTCTTTGAAGCCTATAAAGTACTAGAAAAAAGGAAACTAGATTGCAAATAGTGACTGCAAAATCAAATTCTCAGTGGAAATTCACAAATGTAACTGGAAACAGCAAAATCATCTGAGTCAAAAACAGGGAGAAAAAACTGGCCTACAGGATAAAATGAATACATTGACAGGAGGTGGGGAGGGTTGAATGTCAAACCAAGTGCTTTACTTTTCCCACGCAATCATGGAAAAACCTGTAGATTATCTATAGTACTATCCAACTGTATTATTACTCCTTGCAATAGGTATGGGGCACTTTTTTTTTTTATGGTTAGCTTCTCTCTCCACATCTCTTCACCACATACTGACCCATATCCCTTAAAAAAATACTACTTCCATATACAACTTTGTGTGAAAAAAAACCCTCATATGCTTAAAAGATTCTGCAAGTTAAGGAACACACTTTAAAAAAAGATCAAATTAAATTCTTCAAATTAGTGTGGAAAAGCATGCGGTAATTATATTGATTGCAACATTACTTTCACTTGGGCAAATTGCTCTGCTTCAAAAACACATGGACAAACAGAACCCAGTTGCTTAGGAACCACTTATACCTAATGAGACAGGTGTGCTGGTAGCAACTGAGGCAGCAGCAGCCCCTGCTGTGCTTGGTGGGGGAGTGCCGGGTGGAGTTGTCTCTATTCCACTCTCTTCCATCATTTTCCTTCAGCTACACCAAGCTGCAGAGAAAGAAAAATCTATATTAACAAATGGAATATCAAAACATTTCAAAATACAAAAATATAGTCATACTTCTGATCTAGGAACCCAAACTCAGGACCTGCTACTTCCAATTCCAGCTATAAAAATGAGATTTGAACAGCCTTAGTTTACCCAGTCTGCATCAGCTCCACTTACCTTCCTTTTTCAGTAGAATGCTACTTCCCTAACTTGTACTATTGAGACAACATTTCAACATCTTTCTCTAAAATCCTTGTTGCACTAGGTCATTTATGCAACACTGTTCATCCAAGGATACCAAAACATTTTTGAAAAATTAAGGAAATCTTACCAAGTCCACATATGGTAACTTTTTATCATAAGATAAATTAAACTAAAGGACTCAAATTGAGCACTCATTTCCCAAACATTTCTGCATATCACAATGCATTCATTTCAACAGAAACTGTAGTGCTCAGCAGCTCTGAAAAAAATTTAGCCTTAGTGACTTGTTTAAGGTCAACTCCCCATCCCTCCCCTCCAAAAACCCCCACATACACATTAAGGACATGGTGGGGACAAAACCTTTGTACCCTGACTTTTCTATCTTAGAGGGTCATAGTGGCAGAGGTGCCTTGCTACAGCACCACAGATGAGTGCGTAAAACTTGCTCCAGACTTTTGCTGTACATGGGTACCTGATGATTCAGACTAAGGAGTCAAAAAGTCGTCGTATGCAGTGCTAGGTACATTATTCCTTTATGTGGTTAGCTAGAAAACTAGACTAAGACAGACTATTGTATTGTGCCTTTGTTAGAGAACTTATGTTCTGTAACAATGAACTACATGGATTTTTCAATTTATTTAATTACTTAAATCCAAATCCACAGGTTTTTTTTAACTGATTTCAAACAAGCACACCACCGCACACCTAAAATGATTTGCTGCATTAGTTTAAGCAAAAATTAGACCAATTTTGCTGTATTTCCACAAGGGAGTTAACCTTGGTGTAAACAGATGGTTTTCATATTGATTTTGCTAGTCTAATTCAAATTTTCTTACATAGACAAGTCCTCTGAGGCCTAACTACCTTAATAATCTGGTAAGAGAGCAGCAGAGATCAATACTGAAAGAAAACTGCAGGCCTTCTTTCACTGCCAGCATCAGTGTAACAGGAGCATCTCACCATTCTAACAGCCTTCAGAAAAACAAAATCAGATCCTTGATTAATCAAGAGGACTAGGGAAAGGATGTTCATGCATTTCAGATTTGCATTCTATAGTATACAGGTAACCTTAAAAAAAAAAAAAAAAACCTGGGTCAGGGATGCTCAACCTCCAGCCCACGAGCCAAATTCCAGCCCACCCAGCCATGGATTCTGGCCCACAGAGCTCCCCATGGGTCAAGAAATTTGGCAGCAGAGGAGCAGTGGCAAATACTGCAACCCCTGCCCCACCACCATATTCCCATGCCCCCATGCCATGCTTTAGCAAGGTGCTTCCTTTTAAGTATTGTAGCATTTAACTTTTACACTCGAGGTTTTTGCAAGTACAGAACTGTCAACCATACCTGCTTAAAAAAAAAAAGAGCTAAAATATAAAATCAAAGCTTTAAAATTATTAACTAAAACTATCCTAGGATTTTAAGTCTGCCCCCAGAGGCGCAGCAATGCTTAGAAGTACTCAAGAACATATTTTTAAGTTTTCAACTTGAAGTGATTTTCTCATGGGCTACATGGTGTGAAGGGAAGAAGTCTTCTTAAACTTTCTTAATGCTCATATATTTAGGCAATATTCTATCCCTCTCCAACCCACCCTCATTGCTTGCCTGTATCCATCTCCTCCCTGTTCCAGTTCTCTCCCCTTCTATGCTGCCACAGCCTGCACCCATATGTTGCTGTGGCTCCCTTCTGTTTCCTACCCTTCACATTTTTTTTGGCTAGCAAACTATTCCCCATACCCAGTAACTGTAGTGCTCCCCTGTGTTACTTTATGCCATTCTGAATGAGGGAAACTTGAGCTTCAAGGCAAAAAGTCATAACTTCATGAGAAACTTAGACACCCACTCAATACCAGAAGGTGTTCTATAAAGTCATAATTTAGCAATGCTGCTGGTACAACATGCTACATATGCAACATTTTCCACTCATTTAATCTACTGTTTCTGTTTACATCCTATTTGCATGTGTGTAAACGTGCAAGGAGCAAGGCAGTAGAGAAAAAAATGAAATATATTACTGTAAAGGACAAATGGAGAGGACAGAAGAGTAATTGAGAGCTGAAGCCTTCCTTTTCATAAAGTGTCCAGTTTTATAAACAGCATGTACACCCAAAGCTACAGCAAACTTTGAAGTCCCTCAAGCCTTGGTTGGCTCCCAAATCCAGTCATTTTTGGTAGTAGTAGGCAACCATTGATCCTTCTGAATCATGGTGTATGTGTGGAGGTCCCCAGGACATTTCCGATCAACAAGCCCATGATTCAAAGCAAGTATCCCTTAAAGTTTAAACTCTGCTTCGCAGCAAAGGTTTACTTAGACACGCTTATAAGACAGCCATAATGAGGCTCTCCCCCTAAGAAGAAGACATACTGCAGAATATTGTTTACTATAAATAAGTGTCATCTGTCCAAACAAATCAACAATGAACTGTGATATTGTATCTGTTTGCTTCCAAGGAACTCAAAAACGTGGATTATCCAGTGGTCAGTGCAATTGACAAAACTGTACCCTAGATAATGCTTCTGCACACTTACTACTGCTTTATCTCACTTAAATGAATAAAAGGGCCTGGTTCCAGGATTTTGCCATAGCTGCAAAGGAAATGTAACAAAATAAGTTAATAGAAAGGTTGTAGCACTGCTGCATCCTCCACAGCTCAGTGCTTTACTTTAAACTTGGCACACTCCCACAACAAACCCAGCACATGTCTAAAAGTGTGCATTAGTTGGACCGGGGCCGCCCAACATCTGTATAGATCAGTCACTTTAATGGGGCTTTTTTCCCCTTCATGTCTGTCAGCAGCTGAAGTGCCTTTCCTTAGGTCTGGAGGGGCTGACAGCCTAAACTGAATACCAGGTAAAGACCATGGCTTTTGTTTAACTTCATTTTGCAAATGAAAAGTCACTGTGTTTTTGGCTTGTCTAACACCTCTTTCCAACTGTACAGCTGATCTTACTATAGCAAATCTCCCTTAACAAAACAAAAATACAAACAACGCCACCCCTCTTTCCAACCAAATGCAAAAAGTAGGAAGTTCAAGAGAAATTCTGCACAACTAACCCAAAACTTGTACCACTGCTTCCATCTAGTGGTCAGCATCTAAGAGTTCACTTCATGAAAATTGCCAGTGCTGGTTATAAGACCAGTCTCAAATGCATTCTGCATACTCACATTAGAAGAAGGTACATAGAAAATAGGTAGAAGTATCTCTGTAAGAAGTAATGTTTTACTAATGCTTTTCTCTCGGCATTGTGTACTCTTAAGATTCTTCCTAAGAATCTCTCACTAAAAAATTGGAGCCCTAGTACAGTCAGGTTTTTTAAGTAGAGTTAAAGTGGTAAAAAACCTGGCTCACAAGAGCAGTGCCACTGGGGTTCAGGGCCTAGAATCTCTCTGCCATTTCAAGCTTTTTCTTTTGTTCCCCCATCACACTCAGGCCTGGATGACAAAGAAGGCATATGTTGCTGGGCACACTCTCAGCAACACACACCTGGCAAATGGTAGAAAAAGCTGCAACAAAAATATTACTTGGAGAAAAGCAAAGAAGAAAGGATTTAAAAAAAAAAAGCGGCAGCAAGAGATGCAAAAGTCCATAAAAAATTCCAGAAAAAAAAAAAAAAAAAAAAAAAAAAAAAAAAAAGGATTTAAAAAAAAAAAGGGGGAACAAGGAGGGAAAAAGCCCAAAAAAAATCCCAAAAAAAAAAAAAAAAACAAAAAAAAAAAAACAGCCTGTGTGGTGTCCCCCTCAAAAAAAAAAAAAAAAAATCAAAAAAAAAAAAAAAAAATCAAAAAAAAAAAAAAAAAAACCCAAAAAAAAATCCAAAAAAAAAAAAAAAAAAAAAAAAATCAAAGAAAGAGAACAGCTGCTGTGATGTCAGCCTACTAAGCAAAGAAGTAACATCTTATGAAAAAGTCTGGGTAGTATTACTTAGTTTTCAACAACCTCCCAGACAAGCTACACAAGTGGGATTGGCTCCAGTCTACAACTGAGGAGTATGAACAGGAGGCACAGATCCTGAAGCTTGCTGCACAGAAAGATTCTCACAGGTCCATTACTCTACAGTGCTCCACATAGGCATAAAGAAACCATTTCTATGGAGTCAGCTGAAAGACTGAGTACTAAATTGTCCAAACCCCTAAAGAGTATTGAAACAGAGAAGAAACTGAAACAGTCTTTCCATTGCCAGTCCTGTGCTTGCTCTTTGCAGAGCCACAGCTGTTTGGATAGGGTAGGATATAAATCTAATAAGTAATAAGCAGCATATTTTATCAGACACCATACATTGAATAAGGCCATAAGAGTCCTGTGTAAGTTGCAGTGAAATCCACGCACCAATTGTACTTCAAGTTCCAAACCTTCAATTTTTAGCAGAAGCTTCAGCAAATGCACTTCAGGCTAAATAAACAAAGAGTGAATGCCTCAATTCCAGAAGTTTGTAGCCAGGTGGAGGCAGCAGCCTGACCTGGAAAGCAGGCTTACACTTCCTAAACAAATACCCCAACCAGTGAGCAAAGGGATAACAGGGGCAGTAGCATTACCATTCTCTCTCCAAACCTCATCCAGTTTTGGGTCCCCCACTTCATTAAAGACATGGATGGATCGGAAAGAGATCGGCAAAGAGGAACAAAAGTGATTAGAAGCCCGGGAAGCAAAACTTCTGAGGAAAGTCTGAAAGAATCCCACAACTGTTGATGCTGACTTGGTGCTCAAGTCAGCAGGCCCAGATGAGCTGTATCTGAGGGTACTTGAGGAACTGGCCAGAACCACTGGCACGGCTGTTTGAGCACTCATGGAGCTCAGGTCAGGTCCCGGAGGACTGGAAAAGGGCCAGTGTGGTCCCTATTTTCAAGAAGGGGAGGAAGGAGGATCCGAGAAATTGCAGGCCAGTCAGTCTTGCCTCAACCCTTGGAAAGGTCTTTGAAAAGATTATGAAGGATCATATCTGTGGGAGTCCAGCAGGAAAAATAATGCAGCAGGGAAACCAGGATGGATTCATAGCAGGTAGATCATGCCTGACCAATCTGGTTTCCTTTTATGACAGGGTCACAAAACACTTAGACGCAGGAGTAGAGGTGGATGTCATTTTCTTGGATTTTAGCGAAGCCTTCAATATGGTATCTCATCCCATTCTCATAAATAAATTAAGAGGCTGTGATATGGATGTTTACATGGTCCAGTGGGTGGCAAATTGGCTTAGGAGTCGCACCCAGAGAGTGGTAGTAAATGGGTCAATATCAACCTGGAAGGATGTGGGTAGTGGGGTCCCCACAGGGTTTGGTCCTTGGACCTGTACTCTTCAATATCTTCATCAGTGACTTGGATGTGGGTGTGACGTGTCCTCTGTCCAAGTTGGTGGACGATACTAAATTGTGGTGTGAAGTGCACGCTCCGGAGGGTAGGGAATGATTGCAGGCAGACCTGGACAGGTTAGAAAAGCGAGCAGTACACAATAGGATGCAATACAACAAGGAAAAGTGCACAGTGCTGCACCTGGGGCACAAAAATATCCAGCACACCTACTGGCTGGGAAGTGACCCTCTCAGCAGCACAGAAGTGGAAAGGGATCTCAGAGTCATAGTGGACTCCAAGATGAACATGAGTCATCAGTGTGACAAAATCATCAGCAAAGCTAACCACACTTTATCATGCATCAGCAGATGTATGACAAATAGATCCAAGACGGTGATACTTCCTCTCTATGCGGCATTGGTCAGGTTGGAGTACTATGTCCAGTTTTGGGTGCCTTCCTTCGAGAAGGATGTTGATAGACTCAAGACAGTAGGAGTGGCTCTCCTCTGAATAGTCAGGGGCTTACAGGACAAGCCCTATGTGGAGAGACTGAGTGACCTGGACCTCTTCAGCCTCCACAAGAGAAGGCTGAGAGGTGATCTTGTGGCCACCTACAAATTCATTAGGAGGATGCAGCAAGGGACTGGATATGCTCTGTTCACCAGGGTGCCTCTTGGGGTACCAAATAACAATGGTCACAAACCGACAGAGAGCAGATTTAGGCTAGATATCAGGAAAAACTTCTTCATGGTAAGGGTGGCCAAAATTTGGAATGGGCTTCCAAGGGAGGTGGTACTCTCCCCTACCTTGGGGGTGTTTAAGAGAAGGCTGGATAGGCATCTGGCTGGGGTTATGTGAGCCCAGCACTCTTTCCTACCTAGGCAGGGGGTTGGACTCAATGATCTGCTGAGGTCCCTTCCGACCCTAACATCTGTGAATCAGGACTACTGAGCCTGGAGAAAACTGAGTGGGTATTTGATAAGTCTTCAAAATACCTGATTATAAAAAGGAGAGAGAGGTTTTTCCTCTGTAGCTGTAGGGGACCAGAACTAGGAGCCATGGCCTCAAGCTGCAGCAGAGGAAATTTGAGTTGGAGATTCAAAGGAACTTCCTGACTGTGAGGATGGTCAAGCATTGGGACAGGCTGCCTAGAGACTGTAATCTCCATCACCAGAAAGTTTCAAGAACAGGTTGGACAGACATTTGGCTAGAGTGATTTAGTCAGGGACTGACCCTGCCTTGAGCAGAGGCTGGACTACATGCAACCTCCTGAGGTCCCTTCCAGCCCTCCTGTCTTGTAATCCTACTAGATCAGTCGGACACAGGACCATGCTGCAGAAGAGGCATCGAAGCAAGCGGCATCTAAGTTGCTGCCGGCACCATGTACTTAAAGAGGACTTGGCTCCCAGGGCTGCCACAGCTATCCAATTAGCAGCAGTTTATGCACCTAATCCAGGGGGTCGGATTAGACATGACCTTGTGAAGTCCCTTCAGACCTAACCAGACCGTGATCCCAGGACCTGTGAGCAAAACCATCCCTGGCTGACATGTTAAGCCAGAGACTTTCATGCGCGGTGCCTCGGCAGCCTTTCAGGGGTGCCGCAGGGGGATACCACGTTAGCACTATGAGGTGTGCAAACAAATCCCCACATAAACCCAGAGGTTTCAGAATAAGCCCCAGCACTAAATAAAGGCTGCCCCACAGGGGCTTTCCGACTGCCTGGCAACAGAAGAAAGGCTCTAGTATTCCCTTCCCCGGGTCAAGAAATGACTGCAGACTAAACCTATGTGGTGTGGGGGGGAGACACTAATCTATGGGGGGCGCGAGTCTAAACCGTGCAGATCCACCCGCCTTCGAACACTGCCGCGGGGGGTCACGCTGCGCGCGCACAGGGAGCCCTTTACGATATCACGCTAAGGAGGCTTCAGCACGGGCTTTCCAACGCAGCCGGCGCCCACGAGCTCGGGCATGCGCAGTCAGCCACGACGCGCGCCGGAGCCACCACCCTTCGCAGGAGCCTGAGCTGACCACCCCTCCCACCAGCGCGGACTACAACTCCCATGATGCCCGCGGGTATTGCGCATCCGCCATGCAGCCGGCAGTCGGGCTGCCACGTCTCCGGCTGGCGGCGTGGTGGTGCCCAGCCTGGGAAGAGGGAGGGGCGGGGTTTTGTCCCGGAGCCCAGCACTGTACACCCCCAACCCGCCCCGGCATCCCTGCTTACCTCGGCGCCGACGGCTCCGGGCCGCTGGTTGCTTGGCGGGGCTCCGGCTGCGCTGCTGCCGGCGTCTGCCCTGCCTGCCCGTATCCAAAATGGCCGCGGCGGGGGGCGGGATGCCGCCGCCCCCTGCCACGTTCGCCCGGCAGGGGGAGGAGCCGCACTGACCCCGCCCTCAGCAAGGGCAGAGACCCACGTGACCCGACCGCAAATGGGGAGAACGTTCCTGTGAGCTCAGCTCGTTGCCCGGATGCGCCTGCGCAGTGACGTAGGGCCGGGTGCAGGCTGCTGCTGGGCAGCTCGAGGGCGCCGAGGCGCATGCGCGAGTTGTGGCAGGGCCTGTTCAGACGTTAGTGTCACCGTTGGGGCAATGCAGACGTTAGTCATAGAGCCACTTCGCCAGGCTTGGGTGCGGGTACACTAGTGTTGCCACGTATATGAGCCATACAGCGTTGCTACAGTTAGCTCCTTTGGCCTGTTCAATTATAAGAGTGTTGCTACAGTTAGCTCCTTTGGCCTGTTCAATTATGTAATGCTATTCCTTGCAGGTTGTTAGGAGAAGAAATGAATGATAAAGATGAGCATTCCTTTAAAGCAGTTCCATTAATTTACACAGGATATACATAGATATAACCTCTTGGTTCACTGAACACAATAGAATTAAAACAAGAAGTAGTTTCAAGCCTGCCTTTCCAGCTAGCACTGCACAAAAAGCATTGGTTTGTCATTTCCAGGAGAGCTGTACCTACTAGTACTTTTCTTGCTATGTCCTGCTTTTAGGCTACTTTTCCTGGTTTTCTTCTGCTCTGTCTGCTTCCCTTTTTACTCACTTATTGACAAACAAGTGCATCCAAATTAATAGTCCCCTTTACATTTGCATTCAGTCTAGCCTTCTATAGTAGCCTCTATTTTTCTGCTATCACTAAACAAAGGAGCATTTAATTGTTGCCTCATTTAGCATAAATAGAAAAGCACTAGCATGCCCATCAACTGCAGTGAAGTTTGAGATGGCCCATAATTCAACACCATACTTTCTGGGAGCCACTCAACTTCCACTATAAAAAGCTTCCTGTTACCTCAGCTATGCCCCGTGTACCAGTGAACTCCAAAATGGCAAAGCCATATATGACTCACTCAAAACAGAGAATTATTTTTCAAATTACAATTGATACATACTTATTTACACATATTTACATACTGTCTTTCTATCAAGACATTTTCACACCAGAAGCCCAACAGATTTTACAGCTATTCACATCTCCTGGGAACTTTTCTCTCCCTGCCAAATTTTAGCTGTCCAGGAAGGGCCTCTTCATTGGGTCCCTAAAGAGTCTTTATTGTTCCTTTGGAGTCTATTGGCTGGATCAGACTCTCCATTTCCTTCTAATGAAGAATGCCCCTCTTTCTCATTAGTTTGTGTTTTTATAGCTATATTATCAGTTTCTGGGACAGCCAACCTGAAGTCTTGCCATTCTAACAGCTTTTCAGGTGGTTTTTGTGGTTAACTTTGGATTTAGTCTTTGTAACCAAGTATAATCAACCACACAATTTCAGATACCTGGAACAAAACTAGGCTCTGTCTTAAGAATTTCCCTGTGTGATTGTACATCATATGGGCAAACTTTTTCCATTTTGGATTGTAGATTTCCTATATAGTCCAATCAGTACAAAAATCTTTTCTTCTTCCAGAGTTTCATATAAGAAATTCATTGGGGTCATTTGCTCATGTCTAAGCTTCAGAATAGTGGGGAACACTTTGTACTCTTATTGACTGATGTTCCATATGCCACCAAAAAGAATGGGGTATGTGTGGGAAGATCAATGATACCTGTCCAGGGGAACTCCACGGTCAGAGGGGCGCATCTGGCAGTAGCAACGTGGCCGCGCTCAGGAGGGGGCTTCTGATCCGCCCAGGGTCAGTCTTACCAACTCACCAGGTGAGCCGGATTGGCCCTACCCAGACTCCAGGAGCTATTTCCAGCACTATGCGCTGACAGGGAGACAGCAGGTGAAAGGCAGAAGACGGGGCCGGCAGACAGGGCACTTGCTCAGCTGCCAGTCTGGACTGAAGTCCCTGGGAACGGAGCAGCAGACCCACAGGGTCTATAGAGCTCGGAGGATGTGGTCAGCACCTAAGGTGCCACACTCTTCATTTGAAAACATGAGAATAATACCAGGTTAATATGTACGGAAAGCCACCCCTGTTAGAATGACATGCATGCATGGGCACAGCACATATTATCCTCGGAGGGTCTACCAGGTCACCGTGTTGAAGACCACTAGAGAAATGCCAGTTGGAGTGGCTCGTGACTTACAGTACCCAATGACCTTAGGTCGAGACCGGAGGGAAATTTATGAAGTATTAAACATTGTAAGAGAAGACAGGATGGGAGAAGGTGGCCTGTTCGGAAGTGAGGAAGATGCTCCGGCCATTGCGAGTTTTGATATAGAAGGCTTGTCCAACAGTAAGGCATTCCGAAAAGCCCAAGCTGAAGAGCGTGAATTCCAAGCCATAATAGAAACTAAACTGGCTAAGGAGAAAGAGGATGTAGTGGACCCGAGACACCATGCGAACCTGCCGAGATTCAGGTTAGGAGAAGGTTGCTATATCAGATAAAGAAAGCGGTGCGAGAGGGGGAGGTGATTTCTCAGCTGGTGTAATACTGCATCAGTTTAGGGCTCTTCTACTAAGGTTAGCACATGAAAATCCACTGGGTGGGCATATGAGTTGCAGGAAAACCAAGGCCCGACTGACAAAGTGGTGTTTCTGGTCCAAGATTTATGACCAGGTGGAGAGGTTCTGCCAGGCCTGCCCGGCCTCTCAAAAGGTAAGCTGGAACAAACCAACCCAGGCACCATTGCAAACTATGCCCATAGCAAACGTACCATTTTCTCGTATTACGCTTTATGTGGTGGGACCCCTCCCCAGGTGTTCAACAGGGTATTGATTTTTTTGGTAATCATAGATTATGCAACCCAGTTCCCAGAGGCAGTCCCCATGCGAGCAGTCACCAGTCCCCGAGTGGCGGATGAACTCCTTAAATGGATTACCTGGGTGGGCATCCCCAAAGAGATTGTTACTGATCAAGGGCCTAATTTAGTGTTGGGGGTCTTTCCGAGTCTATGTAAGGTATTGCAAAGTAAGCAGCTATATACAGCCATATACCATCCTCATACCAACAGCCTAGTGGAAAGGTTTAACGGGACGTTGAAGGATATGCTGTGCTGGTGTGTTCAGGCAGAGCCCCATAAATGGGACCTTATGATCCAGCCTTTGTTATTCATGGTGCAAGAGGCCCCTCAGTCATCTTTGGGGTGTGCCCCATTTGATCTGGTATATGGACACTGCCCAAAGGGCTTGCTAGATTTGGTGCAGGAAGTTTGGAAGGAAGCCCCACCAAAGGGCGTCAGTAATGTAGAGTATGTGAGAGAGCTGAGGCAACGCCTGTAAATAGCAGAAGAACTGTTGCGGGAACAACTGAGGGTAGCGCAGAGGGCTCAAAAGACCAACTATGATAAAAGGACTCGAGAGAGAGATTCAAATAGACCAGAAGGTACTGGTGATACTCCCAGATGTGGAAAGTGAATTCCTAAGGTGTCGGCAGGGCCCCTTTGAAGTAATTCGGCAGGTTGGCCCTGTTGATTATGAGGTCTTCAAGCCAGGCCATAAAAAGAAAAAGCAGATATACCAAGTTAATTTGCTTAATGAATGGAGGGAACATTTGTTTGTTGGTCGATTCCTCCCGTCTGAACAAGGAGTTCAGCTGGGACTTGGGTGCGGACCTGGGACAAAATGCAGCGGCCATAAAGGTCCCAGTCAGGACCCAACTGAGCACTAGGCAACAAGATCAGTGGGGGATGTGGCAAGGGGATTTCAAAATGTTTTGAGATCCCGGGGCGTGCCAGAGGGATAACCCATCAGATAATAACTTCTGTTGGGCAGACTGTGAGAGAAAAAATGGAGGAGAATCCAATATTATAGATATCAGGCAATTCATGAGGAAATTACTAAAATGCTGGAGCAAGATGTCATTCAGGAGTCCCGGAGTCCTTGGCGTAGCCCCATTGTGGCAGTGACTAAGCCCAATGGGTTGTTGTGGCTGTATGTGGACTTCTGGAAAGTAAATGCTATATCTCACTTTGGCACCTTTCCCATGCCCCAGATTAGCGAGTTGTTGGAGAAAGTGGGACAGGCTAGATTTATCACAACCCTGGACTTAGCAAAAGGGTGTTAGCAGGTACTGTTGAGAGAAGATATGGCCAAGACTGTGTTTTGGGTACTGGCACCACATCAGCAATACACAGCCATCTATATAGATGATATTATATATACACAGGGTTGGGAGGAACACCTAGAAGTGGTAAGGGCGGTACTGCAGGAATTATGCCAAGCTAGGTTTATAGCCAAGCCAAAGAAATGCATCTTGGGTAAGGCTGAAACAAAGTACAGGCATACCTTGTTTTATTGTGCTTCGCTTTATTGCGCTTCGTAGATACTGCGTTTTTTACAAATTGAAGGTTTGTGGCAACCCTGCGTTGAGCAAGTCTATCGGCGCCATTTTTCCAACAGCATTTGCTCACTTCGCATTTTTTAGCAATAAAGTATTTTTTAATTAAGGTATGTACATTTTTTTTTAGACATAATGCTATTGCACACTTAATAGACTACAGTATAGTGTAAACATAACTTTTATATGCACTGGGAAACCAAAAGATGTGTGTGACTTGCTTTATTGCGATATTCGCTTTATTGCGGTGGTCTGGAACCAAACCTGCAATATCTCCGAGGTATGCCTGTACTGGGGTTTAGGGTAGGCCAAGGGCGTATTCTTCCATTGGCTGACAAGGTGGAGGCCTTGCGACACTACATCCCACCCCAGACCCACAAACAGCTCAGGGCGTTCTTAGGCCTTGCCGGTTATTACCAATGATTTATACCATGGTTTGCGGAAATAACATCTCCCTAAACTGATCGGTTGCCAGGGAAAGGTAAGGGCCCCCTTAGGGTGTGATCTTGCAAGCCAGCAGGTGTTCGAGAAGATGAAAAACGCTCTATGTCAGAATAAGGTGTTGGAAACCCCAGACTTTGAATCACCTTTTATT